ATAGATAATATTTGGGTTTCTAGGAAAATGGACAGAAAGTACAGTTGTTGAGTGTTTTTAGGCAATTCTGACTTGTAGTGACCCCATGTGACAGAGTAAATGTGCCCTGTAAATTTTTCTTGACCCTAATATTTAAGGAAGGGATTTTGGTAGCTTAGGAACTAGGAGGTTGTGCTGCCAATCCAAAGTCAAGTGGTTTGAATCCCTAGCTGCTCTGAAGGAAGAAATTGAATGATTTCCTCCCACGTGATTTACAGCCTCTGAAAATCTGTTGGAAGGTCAGCTATGGGTCAGATCCAATTCCACAGCTGTGCGGCTGAGTTTTTAAATCTTTATGGAAATGGGTGTGTGAGTATATTTCTTTCCGATTCTTGGGTGGATTTGAACCTCTAACCTTATGGCCAGCAGCCAGAGGTTTAATTATTGTTCTACGAGGACTTCTGCAAAGAATACAGAGAATTTGTACATTTTATCACCCCTGCAAGCCCTGCCTCTGTAGTTTTGCCTCGTCTTACTGTCTTGTAGAGTTGACTTTCTAAGTAAGGAGCAAATGAAGTTGTGGGGTTGTCAGTGTTGGTGGAGAAACATCCTGTCCAGCTTTTTCCAATGATGTGCTGGAATCAGGTGGCTGTAAAATATTCCTAATTGATTGTCAAAGCATTTGTAGCTTGAAATTGACCATGGAGCAAGGCTTTATACCACAGACAGCAGTAAATGTGACAAGTCAAATTCCTCACTGTCCTTTTCCAAGCTTATGTAAATTTTTATGAAGATGAGTGATTACGAAGTTAGACAAGGCAGGCTGTGAATCTGTTGGTGCTGTTGAGTTGACCAAGACTCATAGTGACCCTCCGAACAGCAGTCTGAACCTGGCCCTATCCTGTGTCCTTCTCACCATCTCTAGCTGTGACAGTGCGTCTTGTTGAGAGTCTGCCTCTCCTTTGCTGAGCTCCCACCTTTCCCAGCTTGCTGCCTTTTCCCAAGGACTGACCTCTCCTACTGACATGCTCCAAGTATGTGAGGACAAGCTTCACCATCCTGCCTCTAAGGGGTGCCATGGTTGTATCTCCTCCAAGACAGACGCGTCTGTCCTTTTGACAGCTCATGGGATTTCCAGTGCTTTTTGCCAACACCAATGGACTCAAGTCTTTTTTGAATACATCGTGGGTAAATTGTGCTGTAAGCTTTGTTGTGGATGCCCGTTGAGTGGATTCTAACTCTGACAATCTCATGTGTGTAGAGTAGAATGGCGCCATGAGGGTTTCAAGGCGATGGCCTTTTCTAAACATATGGTAGGCCTGCTTTCTGAGGCAGTTCTAGGTGGGTTTGAACTGCCAATCTCTCCGCTAGTGTTTAACTGCTCCCACCACTCTTAGACTTGCCTTTCATGCTTTATAGCCTCCTTTACACTTTGTTGTTAATTACCCTCAAGGTGATTTGACTCACATGTTGTTGTTATTGTCATTTGCCATTGAGTCACTTGTGACTCATAGCGACCCTATGTACAACAGCCCTAAACTCTGCTCTGTCCTGTGTCAATTGCACTGTCTCTGACACTCCAATTTCGATTAACTGAGTCACTGAATCAATCCACCTCATAGAGGGTCTTCCTCTCCTGTGCTGTCCCTCCACCCTCCCATGCATGACGTCCTTCTCCAAGGACCGGTCTCTCCTTACAACATGTCCAAAGTATGTTAGACGGAGCCTCAGAATCCTTGCCTCCAAGGAGTTACCTGGTTTAACCCTTTCCAGGATGAATCTGTTTGTTTTCTTAGTAGTCCATGATACTCTCAATACTCTTTTCCAGCACCACAGCTCAAAGGCATCAATTCTCCTTCTCCTCCTTGATCATTGTCCAACTCTCTGTTACCCAGTAAGCATTCTGCAGGATTTTTCAGGGTTGTGTAGAATGACAGGTGTTTCTTCTGAAGTATCCCTGGAAGGGTTTGAACCACTACCCTTTCGGTTAATAACTGGCTCAAGAGTTTGACCACTCAGGGACTCCTAATGTGAACACAAATACCCTGTGACCTACTGCTGGTCTCATCATGTGGCATCCTTCAACTGGTGCCTGTTGGCTCCTTTGACTATGTTTACAAGAGTTTTGAATCATCAGTGAACAAACGAAGTTTTAAAACTTTTTAAAAATAAAATGGTTTCTTAAATGATGTTTTTAGGAACTCTTCAATAAAACACACACACAAATATTTTTGGAAGGAAAAAATTGCTCCATGATTTAACACTCAATTTATAGCAAATTCGGCTTTTAACGTAATTTTTCCATTTCATTTAACAACATCTTAACTGAAAGAAAACACGAGGTGGAAGCTCTCTTACCAGGCTTTGGATTTTTATTTAATTTTTCTTTTTATGAAACCAAGTTACAATTTCCTACTGAAAAAGTGTCACACAGAATTCTCAACGGGTTGCCTGCCTGCTTTTGCTCCCCCGCGAGGAAGCCACATCTGAAAGCTCTGTGATTCTGACTGGTTCTCGGCTTCCACTTCCTGTTGTGCGGAGGAAAACGAATCTTCAACTCACCAGACTTCTGAAGATTGTTTTCATTCTGTCGTGTGAACCAATTTAGGTTTAGAATTCAGGTGTCTCAAATGAGACTGATGTTCCCTGTAATTTTGTGTTTCCAAAAACAAACAGCTCTGGTCCTGATTGGGGAGATAATTGGAGCAGTTGTTACACACAATCATTTACCTTGGGAGGAGTAATAGCAGAGGTTTGACTCAAGGTCTGAAGCCCTTCTTTAAAGGAAGACAGGCTGAGGGGAGGCTTGTGAAGCCTCGTGCTCCCTCTATGATATCACCCTCCTCTGCTCAGGGCTTTCTGTGCTACCCCAGCCCCCACAAAGGGATCTAAGACAGTCCTGAGGCTCGTGTGGGGTGAGATTGAGAATAAACCCCCATTTTGATCTGGGGCTTTCCCTCAAAGCAGCCCTAGGTTTGCTAGAAGAAGCTGGAGAGTTTCTAACACACTGGAACCCATCTGGGCTTCAGGAGGCTGAGAAGACTCCATGTATCAAGCCATGAAAGATGAAGTCACCTCAAGGCCCCCTTCGCAGATTTCATGGCGGTCCTCAGTGGGGGTCCTTGATGACTTTCCTCTGTCACTCTTTTAAAAGTGCTCTTCATTTTTATTCATATCCTTTCCCTGGTTCACCTGGTTCCAAACCTTCTAGGAACACTGGTCTGTAACTTTCCTTACATTTCTCTGGTTCTGTGCTTATCTTACCTGCTGCCTAGGTTTTCCAGGCCTCTATTTTCTTCAAATCTTTCCCATCATCCAAATTCAGTACTCTCTTCTTTACATGTAGTCCTGGCTCTGGACATGTTATAAGGAGGGACCGGTCCTTGGAGAAGGACATCATGCTTGGGAGGGTGGAGGGACAGCGCAGGAGGGGAAGACCCTCTATGAGGTGGATTGATTCATGACTGGGGTAAGCGGGATGGGAGTGTCAGAGATAGTGCAATTGGCACAGGACAGAGCAGGGTTTAGGGCTGTTGTACATAGGGTCACTATGAGTCACAAGCGACTGGATGGCACATAACAACAACAACAACACCCAAATAAGGCACGTGTATGGGCATAATATTCTGTTACTAGTTACAAAGTGGCTTCTGAGGGAACTCTGGGATGTTAGTGGTAAGGAATTGCACTGCCAATACAAAGGTGCATGGTTTGACTCCCCCAGATGCTTCATGGGAGAAGGATTGGCAGTCTCCACCTATGAGATTTACTGCCTCTGAACCCCCCCAAAGGGTCAGCTGTGGTTTGTTTCTGACTCAGTTGTACACAACGACAGTAATTGGGTTCTGAAGAAGGCTGGTGGCATCTTGGGCCAGCAGTTTGAGTCCACCAGCTGCTCCTTAAGGGAAAGTGGACAATGTCCTCGAGGAAAGTTTGATAGCCTCGGAAAACTGATGAAGGGGAGCTGTGACTTGGACCTGACTCAATGGCGGTGGGTTGTTGTTGGGTTTTTTTTTTGGTTGTTGTTTTCTTTTTAATTTAGATTCTATGAACTGCCAAGGAAACAAATAGGTCTGGCTTGGAGAAGGTGAAACTGACTTTCTCCTTGGAGACTAGGATTCTGAACCTCCATCTCATATACTTTAGGCACGTGGCCAGGAGGAGCCAATCTTCAAAAGGGTAGAGGGATAGTGCAGGAGAGGAAGACCCTGGATGAGATGGATTGATACAATAACTGGGACAATGGCAGTAGGTATGTCAGAATCAATGAGACTGGCTCAGGACAGGGCAGGCTTCAGAGCTGTTGTACATGAGGTCACTATGGGCCACAGGTGACTCAATGGCGCATACCAACAACATTGATCTCAGAGGTAACTTCATCTCAAAAAAGATTCTTGGAGATCATTTAATGACATGGAGGCAGTTTGTGAGCCCAAGGTAAAGATATTTTGTGAAAGATATTTTGTGAAGCAGGGTTGAGCCCAGGACCTTACAATGACAGTACTCACTACTGTGGATTCAGTATAACTCAGACCGGACCCTCCAGTGGGTTTTCAGAGGCTATTAGTCACATGGGAGCAGATTGTCCCTCATTCTTCTGAGGGACCATGGTGAATTTGAATTTTCAGAGAGGTGTGACCTGTGAGCAGCAAAGCAACTCCCTGTAGACTATGTCTATGGCTGGTACATGTCTTTAGTTGGTACATGACCTGCCTACCATGCAGTCCATTATTACCTTTGCTACTCCTTTTTAAATATGAATTATTTACTTGCATGTAAACCATGTGCCTTTGGTTGGTACCACAACTCCTTACCACTAAGCCACCAGAGCTCTCTTTCCCAGATGTATAGTATAACCATTTTCAATAGCTTTCAGACTATCCACTAGATATGGAGGAATTTAGGTAGGTGCATTAAAATGTAGTAATAATATTACCAGCTTTTGGAACTGCTTCCCATCACACAGGCAGCCCCTGGGTTTTCTGTTAATTGCTAACCAGAAAGCCGGTAGTTTAAATCCGCCTAGCAGCAGTGCAGAAGAAAGGCCTGGCTAACTGCTTCTGTAAAGATTAGACGAAAAAGGGGGAGGGACCCCAAAACAAAAAGAACCAAACAACAACCCCAACACACCAACCCAAAACCACTGCTACTGAAAAGTTTTATTCTTGGAGTCAGCTTATCAGATTTGATAGCAACAAGATACCAGTTACTTTAATTTCTCCCTCAATATTCTGTTTCATATAAAAAGGTTAAGTCATTTAAAGTAGAGTACATTGAGTTTAGCTACAGAGACTTCCTTAGATGCTTCTTTCTACATAAACATCTATATGGAAGAGACAGAGAGACAGGTTGGGGGGGTAGAGAGAAGGAGGATATCGATCTGTTTGAAAGCATTTGGAGGGGAGAAGGTATTCACATGTTTATTCCCTACAGACAGTATGATGTCTTTTATGAATTGTTTAAAATATGTTGTGAAAAAATTTCAGATAAATTGCCTGTTTTAAAAAATGTCAGTGTTTGAAGAGATAGTACAACATCCCAAACAAAATCAACTCAAAACCCAAACCCAAACCTGAGTCAGTTCCGAGGCTGTAATCTTTATGGAAGCTTTTTACTGCAGAGGAACTGGTGGGTTTTAATTCATCCCCATTTGGCTAGCAGGCTAGTGCTTTAACCAAAGTGCTACCAGCATTCCTTCTGTTGTTGTGTACTGGAACCAATCCATAGTGGACCCTCCAGTAGGTTTTCAGAGGCAGTGGTACAGGAGGACATTGCCCATTTTTTCTCCCCTAGCATCCCTTTTAGTATAGGATACAAATTGGTAATCCATCCTCTACAGAACATGTAAGAAACATTGATACACTTGATGATAGAGTAAGGTATATTAATTTGACCATTAAGTAACAATTTCCTGTGAGGGAGGATTGAAACCTCTCCAGGCTGTCACCAAAAGAGGTGATGATGACATTTCTTTTCTGGGACACTGACTTGATGTGGTTTACCTGCAACCTTGTCTACTTTGAACACCCTAAACCAGGTCTAAGCTGCACCTGTAATAGCCTGTGATTGTAACATACACTTTACAGGCTTCTATAAATAATAGCCTCTATTTGGCAACGATAAGGGAAAAACCACGACCTCTCTTGTGTTCTTGTATAAAAAAAAATAGTCGAGGAAGTATTTAATTATTTTTCAAACTTGGGTGAATACAGTCCTATCATCACTGAAGTGCCTCTAGTGGAGGAGCTGCGGTGGGTGGAAACAGGAAACATTGTTGAAAAATGCTGTTACATTTTGTTTCAGGTTCAGAGCAATGCATATTGATTCTAATTAGCTCACTTTGAGCCTTAGCTCCTCGCTCCCCTCCAGCTCTGCTTGGAGAGGCTTTTTTTTTTTTTTTTAGATTCCAACCTCCTCATAAACACTGGCACCGCCTCCCTCCTTCTCTCTTTACAAATGTTACAACACAATCCGAATTTTCCTCTTATCTTTCCTTCCTGCATTTCCAGCAGGTTCCCTTGCGCCAGAAGCCGAGGAGGAAAACTCAAGGTAATTAGATCTCTTTTGTTTCTTTTTCTTCCCTCTGCCTGTGAGTGAGCGTGGTTTTGGCTCTTGGATGCCTTCTCTGGGATCAGATTTTTTATTTTTTTTTTTGTCTGCCCTCCTGCTCAAAGCAGAAGGTGGATGGCAGGTTAATTTTGGGTTATATTTTTAAATTGACTTTAAGAAATGACGGCATGCTGTTCATTTGGATTAATCCCTCGTGGTATGTCAAAAGGGCTTAAAATGCAGGCACCAGGCTGGGGAGTAGCTGTGTTTCTGGTGGGCATTAACCCTTACACATCTATTGCATAATCACAGCTATTGCTGTTTAAGGAGCTATAGTGCAGTGTTGAGCTTGTCGGTTGAATGATGCCAATTTTACAACTTATTTTATTCTTGTTGAATAATATTCCGAGTATAACATGTGCACACACAGTTCCTTTGCCACATTTTCTACCTTCCAAGCACTGAGTGAATGTTTAAAATTCAAACAGACACATCTCTCTTTTTTAATTTACTTTGTATACATCACCTAGGTGTGTGTGTATTTGGGAATCAGCTGTAGGGAGGTAAAGGTTGGGAAGTTCTTTCCCTCTGTTGCAGAAATTTGTCATGCCTTTCCTTTCCTTCATGTCATTGTTGCAGGCTTTTTCACCATGAGCCGGAGGAGAGTATCATGCAAAGATCTGGGACACGCAGACTGCCAAGGGTGGCTGTATAAGAAAAAGGAAAAGGGAACTTTCCTGAGCAACAAATGGAAGAAGATCTGGGTGGTGCTGAAGGGGTCGTCCCTGTACTGGTACAGCAATCAGATGGTGAGTCCAGTCCATCTAACTCTGCCTCCAGCTTCCAACCTCTTACGCAAATGCAGAGAAAGATCAGGGAGGCGAGAGTCCTGTGGAAAAGTTAATGTTGATGAATTCTGGTACTTGCAGTGGGAAAGACAAGTTGTACAAGTTGTTACAGGTCCAGGATCTAGATTGGTTTATTCTGTTGTATTTCACAGAGGTGAGCACGATCAGTTCGAACAGGAGGGGACTGGGTGCCCAAATCAGCATCTCGGCTAGAGGAGGCTTTTAGATGCTATCAGTGTTACTAATCCACACTAATCCTGATCGTTTCAGCGATTTTGAAGACAGGAGTTAATGTGTGACTCTCTCAGTCTCTACCTAAAAGTTGTACAACTTGTTCAAGGTGTGCAGTGATGCCGTCAAGAGAAGCCCCCTCCTTTCCTACCAGTTCTTCATCTTCCCCTTTCCTTCTCACTTTCTGTAAGATTGGTTTTAGAATTGCTAAGCCATGTGACACTTTGACGGTGGTGCTGAGGTGTGCTATTCCTTGTCTTGGTCAGTGATGGCCGTCAAGGACGTGCTGGTGCTTTGGTAACGCTTGTGAAGATGCTGGCCTCGTTGTCTTCTAAGAGCTCAGACATGACGTGGTCGGTCTCGCAGGCTTCTTAGTTTCCCATTGAATGGGGCTGCAAAGAGCTTTTACTAGAGAGTGGGCTGGTCATTTGTGACTTGAAATGTTTTGATGTTATTGACTGTTGACAAGCCTTCAAATGGTCAATTTCTGATCTCAGGAGAATGTGACTCTTTGTTGGACACAAGTGAGATCAGCAATGGATACCCGATCAGGGTGCATGTCTTCGGAATTTCTCAGAGAAATGATGCTCATTTGATGCCATTTTTTTCAAATGGCTTTATACACGTCCATCACCCAAACAACAAAACTGTAGAGGTGTGTGTGTGGGGGGGTTTTGTGTATTTATGTAGAAATGTAAAATTAGCATTATCTATTGAATGTAGACAAAGGCTCTAGCTGGTCAATTGATATCCACTGGCCGCTAATCTGTCATGTGTTACCCAGATGCCACTGTCACTTGGCCTTTAGAGATTTAGTTGAACTGGCCCAGCTTTGTATCCACTTCCCTATGTGGCTCTGAGCTTCCCGTTCTCAGCTCCAGTAAAAAACAAGATCAAACCTAAACCGCCTCGTAGAGCACAGCACAAACCTCCTCATCCATTTCCATGAAAATGCTCATCCCACTCCCCCCCCCCAAATACCCGGTGGATTGTAACCGCTCCATGGAAGATTTCAAGTGCTCGTGATAAAGAGTCCCCTTGCACCATGTGCAACCTCCTCTAATCTAGGGCCCCTTTTCTTATTGTGTCTTGTCTTCTCCTCACTGACCACATCCGTCATTGCATCCAGCACTGAATGGTTGCGCCCTGATTAAGGCACTTTATAGAGGGGTCTTACCTTTTGTTTCATGGCATGTCCCATAAAGAAGTTCATCGCTTCCTCCTTGAGAGGGATTTAGGCTAATACAATTCACCCCCCCCTTCTTGTTCTATATTATTTTTGGCTTTTGCTATTGGATAGTTAGGATAAGTGATAGTTACCTAAATCCTTTATTGAGGGGAGGAGAGAAATCTTGGTTTCTTTTAATAGCTCTTGGGGAATTTCTAGAGGCTAATGGAAGCTCTTGGGGAATTTCTAGAGGCTAATGGAAGGATTGGAGTATGACATAGCAGTGGGGCAAGATGGGCATTCGTTACTAACTTCCATCATGTTACCCAGCAGCTGTGTTCTGGGTGCTGTCCCTGGCTCCCTGGGGCAGATAGGAAGCCCCTCTGAACCCTGTGTGCTTACATAGCTCGCCCATCTGGTTTAGGCTTCTCTGAGAGAAAGCAGGGATGTGCCTCTTCCTGACACCAGACACTTCCTCGTGTTGCCCCACAGAGCAGCAGTGCGGGCCAAGGCTGGTCTAGAGAACAGTAGACTAGAACAAGAGACACACTGGAGTGCCCCTTTCTGATGGACTGGGACTCTGCAGCAGTGCGTCCAGCAGGGCTCAGAAGGAGAATCAGGACCGTAAATACAGCTGTATTAATACCGTGGAAGGCAAAATTAACAAGCATTTTGTTATCTGTCCAGGGAATTCCAGAATGAATCCCACAGAAGGACCTTCCCTGTGTGCTGGATTCAATGGCTCTGCGTAGTACGGGTGCCTGTCACACACGCATACGCACACACTGACATCCTAATTATATTTTGTGGTGGGAAAATAAAGGCCACTCCCAAATACTTCATTAGCAGCCCCGTCCTGCTATCTGTGTGAATGCCAACTGTGAAAGAAGCCTCAAGCTAGGAACTTTTATTCACTTGCTGCTGCCTAAAGAGGTGAGATTCAACAAAGTTGCTCCCAAGGTACCTCTGTTTGATGATCAGAGAATGAGAGGGCCCCTGATTCTACCTTTCCTACCCACCTTTCTTGGTGGAGGACACCTTTGTGGTTTACGCTTTCATATATGGCCCCAGTGTGAAGAGCTATCCCTTAGGGAGTGTCTCCTGCATCCCAAGGGGAGTCTCTGGGTGATGCAAACAGCAATTTTCTGAAAGACTGACAGTCCAGACTGATCCAGCGATACTTTGTATAGAAAAGGACTGGTGATCTGCTTCCGAAAGGTCACACAGTCTTGAAAGTGATACAGAGCGTGGTTCTGTTTGATGCTCAAGAGGTTGCAGTGAGCTATAATCAACTCGATGGCACCTTTTCTTTTCTCCTGTGACAAAGCTGTCGTGGAAGGAGGGTGTTCCATAGAGCCAAGGATGGGGAAACTTTGTCTTACATACTTGGACATGTTCTCAGTCCTTGGGAGAGGATATCAGGCATGAGAAGGCAGGTCTGTGAAGGAGACTTGGCACTGTGGCATGGACTGATACAGAAACGGGACAGATGGACTGTCACTGTCTCATCTCACGGTGGAGATGCTAAGGATGGGGCAGGAGGGGCTGAGCTTGCTCCGTTGAACACAGGTCATTATAACACAGAGTTGACTTGGCAGCACTAATAGTACAAACGAAGAGATCTTATAGGTACCTTTCTATCCTCTGAGGTAATGGTGTCACCACCAAACTCAGTTGGATTATGCAAATAGCATCAAGTAACAAAAGTTAAGTGGGGAAAAAAGGTCAGTTCTTACCTGTTCCTTGTTGTAACACCCCAATCTGACTCCACCTGAGAGGCGGGATAAACCAAGAGGTTGGGGTCACTCCATTTCCTTGCTTCAACCAGCCATTGAGGTGAAAGAGATGAGGGCAGACCTGTGAAATGATGAGTGGTCTCCCTGCACCCCTGAGTGTCTGCTGCTCCCTGCCTCTGCGGGAGGAGACCATGGTGCCCTCATGCTGCTCCTGGACTTTTTCTTTCTTGTCTAGTCTTTGACTCATGGTGTACTTTCTTTATTCATAACCTTTTGCTGCTTCAGACATCAGGTCATCTTTGAGAAAGGTCAAGCCCACACCCACTGGCTGGCCTCCACCTCTTGATTTACGTGTGTAAAATGAAATTCAACATCCCAAGTGGCTTCAGAGCACAGAATATCTTCTTCTAAAACTACTTACTCTGTAACAGCCACCCGCATCCAGACTGTTAAAAATCTTGGCTTTTAAATCCATATTCTTCCCCCTGTGCCTTTAAGATGAACTAGACATTTGCTTTTAGGGAGCTCTGATGGCCTAGTGAGTGACGAGTTTTCCTGCCAATATAAATCCACTAGCTGTAGTGCTGGGGAAGTCTTCTCCTGGGCCGTTTATGGCTTCTGAAGACCCGCTGGAGGGTCAGCTATGAGTCAGTTTCGACTTGACAGAACATAATAACGGCCATTGGGTTTGAACCCAGGAAACTCTCTTGACCTATACTGGACCTTCTTTCCTACTCTCATATCCCAAATTCAAGCTCCTGGACCTTTTACAATTCTCAGCCTCAAGTACCTTGTTCTCTCAGCCGTTGTACATCATTTCTCTTTGCTCAGAGAAGTCTGACTCTTTGCCCTGGACTCTCCCCCTCACTGGCTTCCCTCCAGCTCATTCCCACTTAGAAGTCACCTTGCCTGGGCATCCCTTACTTTCCTTTTGATTGTAATTAGCTGTCTTCTGTCTGTTCCATCACAGCCCATTTGCTCATTCCTGACCATCACACCCGTGCTCCTGCCTATGTTACGTGCACACTGTGCTTGCTCCTGTCCACTGTTGCGAATGATTTCTGCTGATCAGAACCACAGGTCCATCTCCAGCACCTTGCTCAGTGACTGACCCATGATTTGTTGATGCCATCAGTAGAACCACCACCATTTAGATCAGAGGAGTGAATAAAGACTAGTTTTGGTGAAAAATAGTTTTCCAATAAAGTCATTTCCAAGCTCAGGTATCCTAGTGGCAAGAAGCTGCACTGCAGTCCTGAAGGGACCTGGTTTGAGTCTAACAGCTGCTCCGTGGGAGCTGGGTGGGCAGTCTGAGTAACTGACCCTGAAAACCTGCCGAGGAGTCAGCTGTGGGTCGGTTCCGACTCAACAATACACAGTAACAACCACTCTGAAAACAGATGCCTTTCTAGGGCCTCCATGGGATGAGATTTGCTAGAAAGGCAGTGGGGTACCAAAGATCCCTTACAATTGCTGTCCTTTATTAGAGATTTTATAGCTGAACCTCCCGTGGATTTTCAGAGGCTGCGAATCACAGGGGAGACGGCCCATCGTTCATGGAGCAGATGGTGGATTTGAACTGCCTACATTTGTGTTGGCAGCACAACTTCCTACCCATTAAGCCTCCAGCATATGTGAATGTCTAGTTCATCCTAAAAAGCTCTAGCTGAAAGTATGGGCCTGTTGCCTGTGATTAGCAAGCTTGAAGGTGAGGTTTCCAACAGGCAATTCGCTCCACTCCAGGAGTTTGTGAGTACCAGTGACAGTTGAAGTTTGGTATTAGATGAGGCTTGGTATCAGTAACCTCTCTCTGGTGACGGAGACAC